GCCGTGTCTCCTGCTGTCGGCGGCACGTCGTGCTGTGCATGTGGTGTGAATCGTCTGATTGGTGGTGAGGCAACGGAGACGGGGGGCAGAAGGCGCAAGACCTGGCAGATGACTGGCTGCCTGCCAGAAACAGAGAGCGGGAGGCAGAGAGACTATAGGAGACACTAGGAGAGAGAGAGAGCTGAGTGAGAAGAGTGCTGAATGAAGTATTTACTAGTATTTCATGGCATTCATACTTTTCCTGTGACTTCGTCTGCATGGCTTGTGTGGTGGAAGAAGTACTCAGATCCTGTATAAATACTCTGTCACAAGTAAAAGTACTGCATTGAAAATGTTAAGTAAAAGTACTAAAGTATTAGCATCACAACGTACTTGAAGTACCAGCAGTACCAGTACTGGTCCTGCAGAACTGTCCACGTCCCAGTAACGTCTCTGATACTGGATCATAGTCACGATAGATTGGTCACGATCTCGGTTTATTATCGGAAATTAAAAACTTGATACTAAATCACATTTACAGAGGAACAGACGTAAACATTTTTTACATTTATCCTGTTTTTTGTTGTCATGTTGATACTGGGATGTTAAAGTGGGCAACAGTTTGTGAAGTTTGAGTGGCTGCTGACAAAACCCTTCATCTCAGGAGTCAAACTGTCTGTGGATCCTGGGATTCATGTCAGAATGACCAAATGATAATACCAGTAAATAATAATGACTTCTTATGTTAAGATGTACCGGCCGGTTACTGTGCACCTCATCACACTGTCAGCTGTGCCCAGTTCAGCAGACACTCGTCCCTGCAGACTGTTTCTCAGAGAAGGGGTCCACTCTCTTCAGGATGTCCAGTACGGTCCAGGACGCCCTCAGGTGACACCACACACCTGCGCAGAGGATCAGCCTCTCATCACTGTGATTCGCTCTCCTCCATATCTGTCGCTGTGACGAGAAGCAGCAAAGGCAAAAGGGAATGATTTTAAAACATTTAAACTGCATATTCAGAATCTGTACTGATATAAATGTGACAATAAAACACAAAACCTAAACAAAAACAACATTAGATCCTTGGATCACCAGCTTCTGGACTTCCAGCTCTGAAACCACATCAGATGAAGTCCCAGCTGTTTTAAACTGTTTCTTTCAGTTATAACTGATGCATGATAATGTCATGATAAACATAAAGCGAACATAACACACACAATGAATAAATACACGAACCAGAGAGACAGAATATGGACTGGAGCTCTGTACTGCTAGAAAGAAGTAAAATCAACAGAGAAATGACAGTAGAATACAAACATTTCTGTTTGGTTTTATGTCTCTGTGTTGTATTTTTAGGCCCCCTGCTGCACAAATAAACTTCAGTGCTGGTTCAAGCTCGTCATCTAGTGGAGGAAAGTGAGAGGAGCACTGATGAAACTAGTCAGCTGACTCCAGTTTCTTTTCTTCTTTCTGTGTCCTAACTCGCAGCCTCATTTCACTTGTGCTGTTTTAACACATCTGCTGAAAACCAAAGGTGTAGGTATGTTAGCTTCCTCGGCAGGTTGGTGCCTGCACAGCCGGGGCTGACCGGCAGGCTGCCCGCCACTGAGCTGTGGATCCTCCTAGCAACTGCTGCTGCTGATGAAGTTAACGTTATGAACAGGGCCGCTAAAGCTAACCTGCTAGCTCACAATGAAGCTAGCTAACCTGCTCCGTTTACGAGAGCAGTTGAGAGGAAGAAGCTAACCTAGCATATAATGTCGACGTTAAAGCAGATGTCAGCTAACGCGAAGACTTATCCAGTTAAGACACAAACTAACGTACTGACTAAATGTATTTAGCAAACTAACTGAAACAACAGGAAGAAAACGGACCGAGCTCGTTTCATTCAGTGTGCTGTAACTTTTGCCTATCTAGTTATATCCAGTTAGCAGCAGCTATGTCAGCTAACATCACTAGGTTTGGAGCAACACTGAGAACGTTAGCCGATGTTTAACCGTTTTCATATGAACAGACTAGCGATATAGGGTATATAAATTAACAATCAGTGTATATAGATGTGAACCTAACGATGGTTGTAACATAAAACAAAATAAGAAGCCGTCTTTCCCATAGGCGTTGGTGGTATAGTGGTTAGCATAGCTGCCTTCCAAGCAGTTGACCCGGGTTCGATTCCCGGCCAACGCAAACTTGTTTTATACTGGAATCACATCAAAAAAATATAGTGATGGGCTTTTTTGGGCTATTTCATAAAATTCTATAGACCAAATGTTTGAAACATTAAAAAAATAATTTGAGTAGTGTATTCAGTCTGAAAAACAAGTCAAACAAGAGCAGAACATTCTGTCTTTTTCTCTTGGTGGTCTTTCCTGCAGCTCCTGAGGGATTTTTGTTTGTATGTAGACATGGGGAGGTATTTCCACAGCGAGATCGACATTAAGAGCCCATGGCATCAGGTGCTGGCTGCCTTCTGGCGGCGCTACCCCAACCCATACAGGTAAGGCACATGTTTGTGCTGGGGGAACTGGAAAACATGATCACTAAAGTTTAAAAAGTACAGCCCAAGCTCAAACCCCAAACCTGACCCTAAATCTAATTCTACCCCTAAGCCTAAAACCTCCTGGACCCTCTTAGACAAGAAAAGATTGGACAAAATGTTCACACTTTGCTAAATGTTCCAGTTTTTCAGTCCACACTTACCATATATCTCACATCTGTTCCCCACATAGACAGATGTATAGAAGCTCATTGTTTCTGTGTCTATACTGTGAATCTGTATGTCTGTGTCTATCAGTACCCACGTCCTCACTGAGGACGTCCTATATCGTGAGGTCACCCCTAGCAATCACCTGTTGTCACGGCGACTGCTGACCAAGACCAACCGGCTGCCAGGCTGGGCAGAGCACGTCTTCCCCAGGCACATGGCCCGCGCCGTCTACGTCCTGGAGGACTCCATCGTCGACCCGCACGCGCACACACTCATCACCAAGACCTGGAACCTCAACCACAACAAACTGATGGTGAGACAACCTGAGTTATCAATAGGCACAAACTCTACTATGTGTAGGCGCAACATGTCATGCACAGAACGTGCTGTGTCCGTCTCTCAGACAGTGGTAGAGCGGTGTTTGTTTGAGGAGGACCGCAGTCGGCCATCTTGGACCAAACTAAGCAGAGAGGCCTGGATCTCCTCGGCCATCTACGGCCTGGCCCGGCCCATACAGGTCTCTATATTTATGAGGACACTAACCCTAACCTGACCTTTAGAACTAAGGCTGTGCCACCAGTCCTTTGGAGGAGGGGACCAGTCACTATGTCCTCACAGTGCAGAAATGTCCTGGTTTAAAACTGAAAGACAGCAATACAAAACAACACAACAGACACAGGTTTAGGGCAGGTCTCTGTTTAACCCTTTGTGTTTCTCTGCCAGGAGTTTGGTCTCTCCAGGTTTAAAACGAACCAAGCCAAAGCCATGAAGGGGCTGGAGTACACTTTGTCCAAAATACAGAGTAAGACACACACACGTTTTTACTTCCGTTAGTAGTATGCTCAGCATATGGTGCTAAAGCCCAGCAGCAGCTTTCCACAAAAGGTTTGTCTTCATTTAACTGCATGGAGCTGTTCAAAACTGAAAAACCAGACCATGTCACAGGGAACTGGACGGGGTGTAGTGGCATAACTGACCCAGTCTTCTATTTACCAAATAAATATACATATATAAGAAAAGTATGTTGTAGAAATACAAATACGACAACAGTGTCAGAGCCATAAATCCTACATTCACTCTAAACCCCAGTTGGTTGTAGAACAGCACACAAACGTGTTCCTAACTGTTCTGTCTTACAGCTGAGACGCCCCCTCATCTCCTTGGCGACGAGTCGTCAGAGAAGCACAAGCCACTCCCACCACAGGCCACGCCCACCGCTACCCAGAAACCCGAGCAGTTCATCTGAACGCCGCCTGACCGATTCTGCTAGAGTTGAACTTGTGCATCTTTTTTAAATGTTGTTTTTTGTGCTTTGCCTCTAATGTTATTATTTTACGAGGTAAGTGGGTCTGGAGAGGTCGTTATGACAGACAGGCCGGACCCAAACCGGGCCCCAGAACTCGTCCATCTAGTCATCTGGTCAACCAAACCAACCTCAGCCGTGACGTCACGGAACAAGTGCTGCTCATCAAATCTGACTGAAGCCGCGGGAAATAATTTCTAAGAGCTGCTCAGTCTGAACTATAGTCGTTAACCTGGGACTGATTTAAGCTGTGAAATGAGTTTTATTTCTTAAAGTTCATTTTGCTTTTCATTCATTTGTAGGTAATTCTGTTGTCATCGTTAGCTCATGTGGAGTTTCATAGAAGGTTTGTTATTTAAAAGACATCCAATGAGTTCGTATTTAAAATCTGAATTTATTTATGATGTAAAGGTTTGAATTCTGGTGACATTTTTAAGGTTACGGTTCACATTCGATTCTGTTTTTTTTGTTGTTATTTTTATGAAAAGAGCTTTTATTTGTTTATTTTGAACAGTTTTATGTTTTTATGTTTTCCTGATTGTGTTATTCATCCTGACATCATTATTTATTGTTTCATTAACTCCTTCCTTTCTGCTGAGGTTATGTTTGTATTTACAGCCGATCAGCAGCAGTGGAAGAAGTACTCTGATCCTTTACTTAAGTAAAAGTACTCATTATGCAGACTGGCCCACGTTCCTGTGTATCATATTACTGTAGTACTGTGTCCATCACTTTTAGTGTTGTAGCTGGTAAAGGGGGTCGAGTTTTATCTGGCGTCTGTGTATTAAATTTGAAGTACTGCTGTACAGCCTGTGAAGTTTCCACCATGGATCAGTGAGGCCGTATACTTATACTGTGTTTTCACCTTGTTATGAAAAGTAACTAGTAACTGAATGTAGTGGAGTAAAAAGTACATTTGCATCTAAAATGTAGTGAAGTCAAAGCATGAAGTAACAAAGTGAAAATACTCCCAGATACCTGAAAGTTGTACTTAAGTACAGCACTTGAGTAAGTGTACGTAGTTACTGCCAATCAGAAAATGATGCAATATGTAAAGTTTTGATTCTGTTGTGGGTCAGACATGTTTCATATTTAGCTAACGGGGGTTTCCTTAGGTCGTCGCCCCCTGGTGGTCGGTTCCTGATAGTAATCTTTAAAGGTGTCACCCTTAAGTTTAACATCTGGGTTTGGGGACACCTGTGGTTGCCATGGTAGCAGAAATCTGTTCTTACCTTTACAAGTTACAGGTTCCTTACCTGAGGATTAACTATGTGACACATGAAACCGGCTTCGCTCGCTGCTCATGGCGCCTCACTGCAGCTGTTTCTGACAGAACTGAGGGTGGGAAGTTATCTGGTGGTTTCCACTGAGGAGTTTCTCAGGGACCAAGGCTACCATCAGGGGGTACCGGGCTGTTTACTGCTCATGTTCACCTGTAAGCTCAAGTCAGGTTATATTAGTTTATATCAGCCATGTTTTAAACAGGGCAACCACTGGAGAGTGAGGACATTAACGAGGTGAGGCTGGTTTGTTTTGGACTGGTTCCACTTCAGGGACAACCAGTGTCATCTCAGCTTCCTTCACTGGCCTGGAAAGTCCTGAAAAGTCTCTAAGCTGCTGGAAAAAATGTGCAAAAGTACAGTGAAGCTCAGAAAATACTCATTTTAACTGGTTAAAATAGGCCAAACAATGGTAGTGTGCCTCCCTTAGTGTGAGTGTAGTTTATTAAAAAGGACACATGACATTATGGAAAACCATAAAGTATATGTCAGGGTAATCAGGCCACAGTTTAATATCATACACTTCTTCTTTTTCCATTTGTGGTATAAAATCTCCTTTTATTAAGCACAGTATCGTAATTTCAACATCCAATTAGATTTTTCTGTTTTCTCTGTACCTGTGTGATGCACACTGAGCAGGACTGGCACTACATAATGTACACAGGTTACGACTATGTGTCACATCTCAGTGCATGTTCTGTGTCCTAAAGCAAAACTCAGCAAGTGTTTGTGGGAGCCTGAACACTTTACAACACCGGCAACTTGACGAGGAAACTAAAGACAATGATAGTTGAAAACATTAACCTAAAACTCCATACTGACACAATAAATTTAAGAAAATACTGCGTAGTACGGCGTGGTGCAAGGTAACACCAGGTGAATCCCAAATCCTCTGACTGGATCCTCGTTTCCCTCATTCATGGCTTATTCCCGCCCACGTAAGACACGAGGAGGAACCGAGGAGACACGTTTTAACTGACATGATTTCCAATGAAGGGGTGTGTCAGTCCGTAACAGACTTGTGGTCTATCCTCCAGCTCCTCCAGCTCCTCCAGCAGCCTCCTCGCTCCTCAGAGCTTTGGGACGTCTTTCTTCGTGGCAAGCCAGAACGGCTTCCTGGTCAAGTTGGGATTGAGGACAGGGAAATGGGATTCACTTTATGTGAAGTGTGTGGAGGACAAAAACATCACACTTCACAGAGTTTGTGTCTTAAGCAGCGACAAGTGTGTAGCGACTCACGAAGTCTCGATTTGTCACCACCTGTGTGCAGCTCCTCGACTGCCTTTGGTAAATGGACTGACCGGTTCAGCTCTTGTCTATGCAACGCAGCACACTCAGCTTTCACTCCGTTTGCCCGTTCACCCTCACACACCTGTGGGACAGCCACCAGGAACAACCTAGACTGCAGCGTCTTGCCTTGACACGTGGCCTACAGAAGCAGGGAATTGAGCTGCCAACCCTCTGCTTCATTACATCAACACTTTGCTGCAGAAGTTATGTAAACTGGCACAGTGACATCTTCACAGAGACTTCACACAAACCTAAACTTAAACAAACCTTTAAAACAACCGCTAAATAGTGACACTTGCTGGGGACGTCCTGATCAGCTGTTGTGATCCCAGTCCTGATCCAAGACCTTTACCACTGACGCCTACATCGGTTTTCTTTTAAAGGTGCCTGAAGCCTTTCAGCTGCTTCACAACACTGTGCACACTGTAAACATGCACTTCTCAGTAAGCTGACTGCCTTCAAAGCAGCTAACATGTTGATGCTTCATCAGCAGTTTGATAAACTGTTCGCTCTCTGTTACTGATGATGGTTAACGGGCACTGCGGTCAATATAACGTCTCTTTATTAGCTGATACTGATCCTGTCCTTAGGACCAGCTCAGGTCGTCTCTAATCCTTCCAGACTTTTCACTTGGAGCTTTGTTAGTTAAAAGCAGAGCAGTTATGTAACAGAACACAAAAGCAGGAAGTTTGTAAAAACACAGCTAAAAATGACCAGGTTTGGTTTTTTAACTTGACTACTCATTCATTCTTCTCCTCATCTGTGACATGTCTGGAAAGGAAAACGTGTAGAAGCCTTGGCCAGCGAACCACTGACCAGCGTCCTCGTCCAGTGCCACACTGTCCACCATTTCGTACATCAAAGGAAGGACCCATTCCTCGTCCGTGACGTAGCGAGCCAACGCACCTGAAACACGGCGGAGATGATGGTCAGGGACATGACGACAGATGTGTAACCAGATCGAGGTTTCACTTTACTCAGTCCAGCACACACCGTTCTGCTCCTAGTCAGTCCCACACTTCATATTTCTGACTGGCTGGCTGTGAGAGACCAGTGTCTGCTTTTTAAAACACTGTATATTTGTGACCCATTTTTTATAAGACCAGCCTCATCAGTGGGCCTGAACGGTCCCAGGGCCGAGGGCTACACGTGTTGCAGGCAGGACCTACCGACTGGTTGACTTTAAATAAAATACCCAAAACTGCAAAAAGACTTCAGTTTTAAACCAACAGCAGAACCTGAAACAACCAGAAGAGACCGCTGCTGACCGCCAACACAGGACCGTTTTAACTGCTAAACGCACCAGGCGTCAGTTGTTATGGCACTTCATTGTTTCTGACTCTGATGACCGAGACCCGGAGGGGATGAGGCCGCACACGGAGACGCTCTGCCAACTGGTGGGAAGCTCCAACTCCACTCGTTGATCTGAAACAGACCACTATGGTGACAAGTGCACCTCCAGGAGAACTGACCCACGATCCATCAGACCTGTGGACTGGCACTAATACTTCTAAGGCCCAGTGTGACAGTTTATCTGCTGTAACTTGGCTTAAGTCATCACCAGTTATTCTCACCATGAGGTGCCATCAGAGTGAAGTTTGATTACTGCAGAAACTGTCTCTGGTCCAAAGCTTCGTTTTCTCAGACACTCCTGATTTCATCAAGACGCTCTGAATTCTGCACAAATGTTGTAGCAGTCACCAGGAATGAGTCTGACCACACAGCGAGGTCCCGGTCAGCAAAGTCCACCCTGATTCTTCCTGGGTGTTTCCCAGGTTTTACCCGCTGTGCCCGTATTTATCATCAGTACTAATGGGCCAAAAGTTCTCACTGTTCCAACATTGTGTTCTTTCTTTAAGGACTAGAAGCCAAAGCATTTTATCACCTTTCATTATTTTTATCTCAGAGCTCCAGAGGCATCCTGGCGTGTTAGACGTCATTGAGACAGACATTTCATGAGATGTTTGCTCGATTACGGTAAGATCTGTAAAAGATGATGATGAAAAACTAATTCTAGAGACAGACTCTGTGCAAGACGCAGTGGAGAAGACGTCCTTACAACATGACACAAACAGCTTTGAGGTGGTGATAACTTGGTGCACACGCATCATAAAGTTTGTGCACACAGCTGAAAACGCCCGACACCCCATCATGTACCTGTAGGTGCCGCCATCCTGCTGGGTGACACTAAGCAGCTTCAGAGAGCCGTCCTCCAACATGGTTGTCCTCTCGAGGAACTGAGAACACCTGCCCAGGTGAGCCGGGCTCTACATGCAGGAAAAACAGACAAACTGTTCTCATCATTGTTAGTTTGTCAGAATGATGTGTAGAAAATGTTAGAGGGCAGAGGAACGTGCCCAGCGAGGTGTCTTCAGACGTTTTAGTTTGAATCACTTTAAGACACAAACAGCAGCAAATCCTCCCAGTGGACAAACTGGAGCAGCAGTTTGCCGACTGTCAGTAGTTACACACTGTCCTTCACTGGTTTGTTCACTGAACTGTGTGAATCACTGGGCAACAAGTTGACTAATGCAAAGGACCATTAGCATCTGGGCCATTTAATACAGCACATAAAGACGTAAACATTAGTCATAGAACATAAACTTTAAACTTAATTCAGTGTGACACAGTCTTCTCACTAACTTTTCGGACATGCGCATTAAAGGTAGTGACCTTTGACCTCCATGTGTTTTTCTTCCACTTGGACTCATATATCATACTACACTGTAATACAGGTGCCAGGAGCTGGATTCTACTATTAATATACAGTTATTTTATAGCTAATGGAGGATGCCCTTGGTTTTCAATGTCAATGTATGAGGTCGCACTATTCACATTTAATTTTTGTTAGAATCTGAGTGTTTCATCAAAAGGTTGCTGTGGTTTTTCTCATGCAGTAGTGGACATTAAACCATTTTCACTTTTTACTAAGGCTGGGCAAGTTAAAGCGTTAACCTCGCGATTAATGTAATATTTCAATAACGCGGACAATTATTTTATCGCGTGATAACGCAGTTTATTTTTATCATTATTATTATTATTTTGAAAGTCAGTCTCTCCCTGGCTCTGAATACACATACAGAGCGGGCCTAAGACCCTGCAGCACTCAGGTGAAGTGGAACCGAATAGAACTGGCGGGACAGAATAATGGAGGAAGGTAAAGCAAAAGCACTCTTACATGGACATTTTCATTTTAAATCTCTTCCACACGGTGGAGTTGATAGAACCAAAGTCATTTGTAGACACTGCAATGCAGAATTATCTTATCACCAGAGTA